CAGATACTGTTTGTATAAGAATGAAATAGTGGAATGTACCAATTTCAGCTAAAAGTGGTTACAAATGAACTTTCAAAATCCTATGTCAAATTGATGGGCAGAGAAATTGCGTGGATTTCCCAGAGGATCAATTCTCCAACTCTTTGCCAAGGGTAGGATTTCCCAATTTGTGACATCAGCCATCCCATTTATGGTGACACCCCTTTTTGATGCCATCAACAAAGCTCAATGGAAGACGTTACCTTATAATTTAACTGAGCCACGGTATACCAGGGAAAATGCAGTCCACTGTGGAGGATTGCAAAGGGCGGTGCAGCAAATGTTTCATGTGCCACCCATGAAAGTGTCTTAGAAACTCTCTTCAACTTTGAAAGAAGTCTCAAAACAGGCGGCTGTTACGTATAAGCTGGATTGACAAGATCAGAAATGAGGAGGTGATAAGCCGCCTGGGAAAGCCAAGGGAAATCATCAAAACAATTAAAAAACGAAAATTAGAATATTTCGGACATGTGATGCGACACCCAGAAAAATACGGCATACTCCATTTAATCCTCCAGGGAAAGATTGAAGGCAAACGAGGTCCAGGCAGAAGAAGAACATCGTGGCTTCAAAATCTAAGGGAGTGGTTTGGACAAAACTCAGCAGCACTTTTTCGTGCTGCTGCTGATAAAAACAGGATCATCAACATGATCGCCAATGCCCGATAACGGATATAGCACAAGAAGAAGAAGAAGAAAATAAAAAAGTGTAGCATTATAAATACAAAAAATATTTTATGTTTATTTCTTTACTTACATAATAAAGTATGATATGAATAATCTCCTTTTTGTATTCAATTTCTAAATGCCAATGATTAATCTTTGGTGGAGGGGGTTGTACTCAGTTTGTAAATTTAAGAAAACCCCTAAAACTAATTCAGGAGCCCTTGGTTGCATAAATATTATCCTGTCTTATGACCTCTCTAAAAATGCTTTTTCTTTTAGGAAGATGCACTGCTCCAGATTCCTGTTGAGCAACACTGCACTTAGTTGATACTAAGTTGATACTAAATACTCCTCTGTGTATTAATGATTTACCTGTGGAGATGGTTAGCAGCATCAAATTTCTGGGTGTGCAGCTAACAAGTAGGCTGGCTTGGTCGCTCAACAGTGAGACACTGGTGAAGCGGGCACAGCAGTGCTTGCATTTTCTGCGTTGCATGAGAAAAGCACATCTTCCTTCCCCTCTCCTTACCACTTTCTATAGAGGGATGATTGAGAGCATCCTGTCATACAGCATCCCAGTCTGGTTTGGAAGCATTACTGCTTCACACAGGAAGGCGGTGCAGAGAGTGGTGAGGATGGCAGAAAAGATCATTGGCAGTGCACTCCCTTCTATCCAAGACATAGCATATAAGCGTTGCTCGAGCAGGATCGGCAGTATTGTCTGGGACGCTACACATCCTCTTCACAACCTGTTTTCCTTGTTACCTTCTGGGAGGAGGCTTCGTGGTATCCAAAGTAGAACATCCAGATTCAGTCACAGTTTTGTTCCATACAGTATCAATCTTGTGAACTCTCAAGCTTCCTCTTTCCGCTACATATTCAAGATGGACAGTGATCAATGGGTGTAGGTATATACATATGTATGTATGTAACATGTTTATATGTGTGTTACGTATGTGTACACTTTTGAGAATTTCATTTTTAATGTGTGCCAGTGTGCCCACAGTAAAAAAAATGACAATAAAGATTATCTATCTATCTATCTATCTATCTATCTATCTATCTATCTATCTATCTATCTATCTATCTATCTATCTATCTATCTATCTATCTATCTATCTTGATAGTTTTGGCATCAAAAAGGGTTAAGCTGCCAGTGTTCAAATACATGCACTGGAAATACATAGCAGAACACCCAGGTATGCCTGTGTGTGGTATGTGGTGTGTGTTTGTAATTCTGTGTAGCTTTATGCCTTGAGAATCTAGCATTCTGATACAGTAGCTGAGTCCAGCAGAAAGCACCATCCAGCATTTGAAGAGGCTAAAATAGTAAGCTCACAGCTTTATAAGGAGATATAAATACTAGAGCTAGCGAAAACTTTGGATACAATCTCCAAAGGGTATTGTATGCTGTCAATCTTGTCAGTATGCAAGTATTTGAAGGTATAGCTAACATATTATGTTCTCCTGCACTTGGAAAATATTGCACAGCCCTAACTGAGAGGAGAGGTCCCAGTACAGAAATAGACAGACAAGTGTGGCTTTTCCTGGCTGGTTGTTTTATAACCATTTCATTCACTGCACCACCCAGCCTGTTGTAAATGAGAAATGCTCTAGATATGCCACAATACGGAGCAGGAGCAGTCGTTTGGCAACAAAGCTTATGCAGAGAACAGGAAAATGTCTTCTTTATTTTCTTGCTGCCTCAGCAAATGAAAGGTCTCAATTTAGAACCAGTTTGGTAAAGCGGTTAAGGCATCAGACTAGAAACTGGGAAACTTTGAGGTCTAGTCCTGCCTTAGGCACAAAGCCAGCAAGGTAAACTTGGGTCAGTCACTCTCTCTCAGTCCTAGGAAGAAAGTAATGACAAATTGTGAAATCTTGCCAAGAGAACGATAGTCTTTTCCAGGTAGTTGACAAGAGTCAAAGACCAACTCAAAGACATTAAAAAAAGTTTTGAATTTGGCAGCTTCAGAGCCATTATAATCTAGGGATTATGTTGTATTAGAATGGGGAAATTTGGATTCAGTTCCACCAACAGATACGTGGGAACCCACTAGCAAGACTCAAGCTACTAGCAGCAACAAATGGGGTTAAATTTGGAGAACGGTTCTATCAAATAATAATACTATAGTATTAACAGCTAGAAATCCAACTCTCTTCCTCCTCCCCGTGACAAAATGTGTGTTTTGTGTGTGTGTGTGTGTGTGTGTGTGTGTGTGTATTTCAAGGATGCACAAGGATGGGGCTTTGCTCTCTTCAGTTTCATTCATTCATTTGCTCCTAAGGAACTCAAGACATCATAAATAATTCCCTGTCCTCCAGTGTTATCTAGATACAACAGTCTTCTGGAATTGTTTGGGGATGAGACTTAGTGACTGGTGCAAGGTCACCAGGGAATTCCCATGTTCGTGTGTAGAGTTACATCTGGATTTCCATATCCCCAACCTGTCTACCACACAATGCTAATCTTTTGGTTTCCATTGCAAATTCCAGTTCCCCTAAAAAGTCACAAAACTGTGTGAAAGAGGAAGGTCTATCAGTTTTCTTGGTATATATATGACTGTGATATGCTGTTTGGACACCAGACCAGCCTTCCCCAGATGCCTTCCACATGTTCCCATCTAGCATGACCACGTATACAATATAGAAGATGACCTTTTTTTTCTTTTTCATATTTCCATAATAATTAGGGCTTCAGTGACTTATTGTTGACTCAAGACGCAAGTCTTTTGAATAAGCATTGACTGCAATTCAAGAGCACTTTGGAGCATCCCACAATGAACATGCTTGTGGCATGTTCTGTATATGTGCTGAAGCAGAGTCTGCATTGAGTTGAGATTTATTTTTGGTGGCTAGGGGTGTATCTCAAATCTTCCCTCTTCATTAAATAATTACCACAGTGGCTGCTGTAAGAGGTTTTTGAATGATCACATGTACCTAGATTATTATTTTGGTGCTTGTTTTAATAAATGCCACCAGACATAAATGCCATGTGGTCCTAACAACATTGCACAATTATTATTTAATTTGCACAAGTCAATTTACAACTGGTGATGTCACTTGCCTTCCTGTTCATCCTCTTCATAAGTACCCCTGTAACTGGGATATTTGTGTAATAATTTTAAAAAGCACTACAGGTAATCCTTGAGTTACAACCATTCATTTAATGACCGTTCAAAGTTGCAACATAGCTGGAAAAAGTGACATGACCGTTTGTCAAACTTATGACTGTTGCAAGATCCCCAAGCCATATGATCAAAATTCACATGCTTGGCAACTGATTCATACTGTATTTATGATGGTGTCAGTCTCCCAGGGTCATGTCATCCACCTTCTGTGACCTTCTGACAAGCAAAATCAATGGGGAAATCAGATTCACTTAACAACTGTGTTACTAACTTGACAACTGTAGCAATTAAGTTAACAACTGTGGCAAGAAAGATCATAAAATGGAGCAAAACTCATTTAACAAACTGTCCTGCTTAGCAACAGAAACTTCGGGCTCCATTGTGGTCATTAGTTGAGAACAATTAACCAGTGGAATAGCTTGCCTTCAGATGTTGTGGGTGCTTCATTACTGGAGGTTTTTAAAAAAAGACTGGACAGTCACTTGTCTGAAATGGTATAGGTCAGGGGTAGGCAACCTTGGCTCTTTTATGACTCGTGGACTTCAATTCCCAGAATTCCTGAGCCAGCAGGGCTGGCTCAGGAATTCTGGGAGTTGAAGTCCACGAGTCATAAAAGAGCCAAGGTTGCCTACCCCTGGTATAGGTAGAATTTCCTGCTTGAGCAGGGGGTTGGGATGGAAGATCTCCAAGGTCCCTTCCAGCTCTATTCTGAATTTAATTCCTTCATTGACATTCTTATTTGTGTCATGGCTTAAATCCTCCAAAGTAACCTGAAGTTTGTTCTTTTTAGATCTCTGAAAGCACTTTTCAGAAAGTGCTTAATATCTTTAAAACACAAACAGAACTTTGAGAATGTTCACTTAATATATTTGGATGGGTTTTCGTTTTTTTCTCTCCACCTTAGGGTTTCTTCCTTCCATTCTAACATTCGGCTTGCTAGGGAGTGGTTTTCCCTGCCTGAGCAACTTCATAGGCTGAAGGATTTCGTGGGCTGGGTTTTCCCTCAAACTGCCTCTGGAACCAGCTCTGAGCTACTTGGTGCTGAAGAGACGTAGCAAAAAACGCTGCTGCCGACTCTTGCTTCCCTGCACACGAAGAGTCCCACTGTGCTTTCTTTTTCTTTTGCTGAACCACAGCATGAATATTTAACAAGGAGAGAGGGCTAGGTGTTGCTTTTTAGAAGGACAATGGGGCACTTCCCTCTCCTGGGGCACAAGGTTAGTAAACTTCAAACTTCGTCTTCCTTGTGTCAAATGTCCTGTCATTCCTCATGACTCCGTGGAGCAGCCAGTGGAATAAAACAGTCTTTTTTTTTTTTTTTAAAGACTGCTGTATGGCTGCTGAGAGGGGGAAATGACTTTATATTTAAGGAAATGGTGTGTATGCTTTTGGAGGAAAGGCAGGCTGATGGAAATTGAGTGCTAAAAATGTCCCTGCTGTCTTGTGCAAGCTTCTGAATTGCTTGGATTTTGTGAGTCCTGTTTTTAGTTTGCTTTTGGTGGAGTTTCAGGAAAAGGAGCCGAGAAGTTTTTGAAATGGGGAATGGGGAATGAGCTAAACTTTTACAAAAGAATGGGCTGTTCAAAGTTTCGGTTTGAAAGTGTGTTCTCCAGCTACTTCTGTAGGTTAGACACTTCTGCCTATTTTGCTAAGTAGAAGGTGGAAAAAATTTCTAGGGGTGCTTTAAAATCAGCATGCCTTTTATTCCCATGGGGATCTTTACCAAACAAAACCAGTCAGTATCAGGCAATCCTAAAATCAGCTAATATGCAGATATGCACATATTTGACAGCCATTCTTGAACTTGTAATTAATAATCATCGGATGGGTCCATAAACCGTACCGATGACAAAAAAAAATATGTATCTGGCAAGGAAGAAATTTGTGAACATGGAAGGGGACAGACTGATCATATTCTTTAAAGTTGTTCTTCATTTAGCTATGAAACCTTGGTCCCATCATTAGCTCCAATCTAACAGACTTTATAGGGTTATTCATGTGAAGAGAAAACTAAGTAAATGGGTGAAGAATTATGTAAACCATCCAAAGTAATGGGGGACGGGGTAAATTTGTCAATGCAAATAAAACTGCAGATGTTGAAAATGCCCTTTCAATTTGAACCTCCAGAGGGTGAAATGACAGTGGACAGTTTATGATCACCTGGATGGTTCTGGTCTGGTGTTTAGTATCCTATCAACTGCATCCAAGTGACCATTGAGGACATTTGCTGCAAGATTCAGAACTGAAGAGCAAGCCTAAATGGTGCCATCCAGTTCTCCAATTTCTTGATAAACATGCTTGCCTTTGTAGCAATTTGAGTTCAGGAAATCAGGAAGCATTGTGTGTCTTCTCTGCAAGACTCCCAGTATGACCTTTGCATCAATTGATTTGCCTAGATTCAAAAGTAAACATGGGAAGCAGATCTGATATTATTTGTACTGTTCTCAGAATGAAGGATTTGAAACCAATTTATATCTAAAATTTATGTTCATGCATTATATAGATGGAAATGGAAGTCAGCTAATTAGGATTAGGGTAGGGCTATGAGATCTGTGTTGCAAAAATATAAACCATCACTAGATGGCAGCAAAAAATATTGAAGGACCGCTGCCCCTGCTGCCATCTTGTGGTAATTTGGATTTTTGAAGCACTGATCTGATGACCTAGGTAGAGGGATATAGTCTTGAAAATAATAGAGGACATATTGCGTGACAAACACTGGAAGTTGTATTTCAACCAATTTGGAAAATGTCAGCTTGGTGGAAGCTATTTTTCAATATTCAAGGATAGACTCCTGAGAAATAATACAAAAAGTTTCTGCCGATAAACTCATTGACAGAAATTTTGCATCAGTACTTCAGGTATAGGAAACTACGTAGACCACGGGTGTCAAACTCGATCGTGTCACGTGATGTATCGTAACATATCGTGACATTTTTTGCCTTTGCGGAGCCGGGCTGGGTGTGGCCTGCATGTGATGCATCCGGCCCATGGGCTGCCAGTCTGACACCCCTTGTGCATTTGGCAACTCTTCAAATATATTTGGACCTCCACTTATGAATTCTTGGTAGATATGTTTTTTTGCATTGTCAGTGCAAAGGTTTGGAGGACTGTTTTCTAGAGATTGTTTCTCAACCTCAGCAACTTTACCATGTATGAACTTTTCCTGAGTGAAAAAGAAGCAGTAATATGGATACAAAAAAGGAAGAGTGTTCAAATCACTGCAGGTGAAGCTTTGATTAGCATTTGCATAAAGGAAAATCTGCCCAAGAATAATTGCTTGCGGGCTTCTTCCTGAATGCTTCCTTGTAAGCACCAAGCATTTGGGAATTGAGCCAGCATTAATTCACCTAGCAGAAAATCGCCTTAGAAAGTGAGGTTTTTTTTTTAAAGTGAATTGCATATTAATATTGACTAGAATATAAAACCAGTAAACCATTTTGCTCTGCCTGCATTTCTTCACGTCATACATGTAGAGGATAGTATGTTTATTGAATAACTTGCATGGCATTCCTTCAATAGTAATGTACTTCTTAAAAGGGAACTGTCAAGAGCCAGCTTAACTGTGTCACTTATTTATTGCTGAAGTTTTGGAATTCCTTAGAGCAAGTTTGCAAACGAGGGCTGGCAGGCTTTCCAACCAATGTATCTTGATTTCTTTGCTGTCCTTGGGCAGAATTTATTCAGGATCAGTTTGGACCTTTCTGTGGTTCAGATGTGGGTTTTATGTTGAGAACCCACTGCTATTTGTTTAGCAAATACTGTTCTTTGAATGCAAAATTCTCTGGTTGCCTGTTGGAAGGCAGCATTAATGGTGATGGGTAGGTTGCCCAGTCAGATTTCCCCCGATGTGCGGGGGATTGTAACAGTCAGCAAGGTAATTTTGGCCAAGTCCCAAAACATCTGGAAGGCATCCTATTGGAGAAGCTAGTACAACAAAAGAACTAAATTAGAGATGATTTTATCTGCTTCTTTGTCCTAAAACATCGTTTTCTTTTTACTGAAAGTAAGCTCAAGCAGGTTGCAATAAAATAGAACAAATTTCAAAAATTTAAGGCCAAACTTGACATCATATCCTATCAGCAGCAGAAGCTCAACCCAAAGAGTAGATGAATAGGTAGGATCTTAGATGATGCAAAGGATTAAGCACCAGTTGGGGAAGGAATTCCATAATTGAAGAACTACCAATATTGAGAACATCCTCTGCCAAGTTGCCTCCCAATTCAACCTTAAATGACAGACAGGTACATAAGGGAAAAGAAGATTCATTCACACTGTTAGCACATTTTTAAAAAAATCTTCAGCTGTACCCATCCTGAACATTACATCAGATCACGGATGAAGTAGAGCTGGTCTGGTGTAGTGGTTAAAGCTAGAAACTGAGACCATGAGTTTTAGCCTTGCCTTAGGCACAAAACTAACTGTGACCTTAGGCCTGCCATTCTGTGTCAACTGTAGGAAGAAGCAATGTCAAACTAATTCTGAAATTTTGCCCCCCAAAATGGCAGGGACTAATCCAGGCAATTACCAGGAATCAAAAACTGACTGAAAAGCGTGTGTGCACTCGCTCACACACACACATACACGCAGAGAGAGAGAGAGAGAGAGAGAGAGAGAGATGGAATAATACCAAGAAAAAGTACAAAAAAAGTGGCTGTAGCTATTGTTGTCATAACCTGATCTCTAAATTTCTTTGTCAAAGATAAATTACTTGGAGAGCAAGTAATCCAATTGACAGTCCTTGAAGTTCAGCCTAGTCAGGAAACAGATACCATGATAATTATTGGAATTCTACTTTATTGCTGTAGGATATATTAACAGAATCCCCAAAAGCCTGATAGAGATTCACTCTCTCCCTTATATACAACAGAGAATAAAGATGGGGTTATCTTGAGGGGTTTGTTCTTTTCATTCCTCTCTTTTCCAGGAGCTAAGCTGATGTTTATTTAACTGATCTTGCATTCCTTCTTCAAGTATATCTTCACACTTCTCTACACTAACCTGGACAAATAAATGGGGATATTTGTAAGTGTTATTGTGGTGTCCTTGCTACAACTCATATACTGTACGTGATTATGTGAATGGTTTGTGGTAGATAGTGATTTTTTTTCGTTCATATATATGACGTCTGAAATAAAGGTGAAATTTCAAAATGTTGCCATGGCATTGATAGATTTTTTTTTACTTTTAAAAAAAATAGTGGGTAAATATGTCTTGTCTTCATCAGCAGATAAATCTTTGAAACTGGTCTCAAGTGGTACTAATCTGTTTTGGTGTCATTGCACACCAATAGCAGACTTAATCTGGATACATCCTTACTGTTAATAATACTTGTCTAATATTTTTTCCAGTCTTACTTCTGGCTTCCTGATTATCAAATCTTTTACTTAAGTCACAAAAGCTTCTATTATGATTATTTCCTTAGTGGAAAGTTGCAGAAGGAACCACGTCACCACATCTTCCTAGCTTCAGCCAAAGCAGAAATCAAAATGTGACTTTCATCTGCTAGGAAAAACTGGATTCCAGATTATCCTGCAGATGTATGAGAGGGTTTGGGCGGGTTCTTATTGGCCAGGGATTAGATTTAGGAGGGGTGGTGGTAAAGGGGTTTCTGAAAAAACTCTTCTTTTCAGAGTTCAGTAATTCCTTCACCCTTGCAAAGTGAATCTGGAAGAACATGATATCCAGTGAAAAAATTGTGAGGCAAGGAACTTAAATCGTTCCACTACCAGCTTAAATGTTCTTTTCTCAATTGCGTTTTAGGCAGTAGCCAGGAGATCAAGACCTTCAAACTGGGAAAAGTAGTTAGGAGAGAAGATTTATTTGTGTTTCTTGTAAAAGGAAATTCTCCTTTGAATAGCCACCAACTATCTGCAAAAAGGCTTAAGAGGAGACATTCTTTCAAGTAATTAAAATTAAGAAATAATGATTATTTTTTTATACTTCTTTTGAATACCCAGGATAGTACAGAGAGCTGTGAATGATAAGGCTGGTATTCTTATTTTAGATGTTTGGGGGCCTAAAACAGATGATGTGATGTGAGAAATTTCAGCTAATAAGTAACTAATTATTATTGGAATTTGGAATGCAGCATGCATTTCCATTGAATTTCACATCCAGTGACCTTTCACTGCAAAATATGAAGGTTCACACTCAAATAAACAGAATTGGATGTTTGTGATCAATCATACTGTACAGTTGAGGTCCAATTTTCATT